ATACACTCTATAACAAAAGAATCGACGCACCAAGAAGCAATTATCCGATTGCTTCGAAATTTCGTATACATGAATGTTTTGGCTCGATCAGGCTGGGATCAAGTTCAAAATGAAGAATAAAACAACGAAAAATTATAGACATATGAAAAAAAAAAGGGGGGGGGGAAATAATAAGTAAAAAAATAACAAGCAACTGTTTAAAAAAAAAAAAAGAAGAAATTTTATTTAAAAAACCGGAAAAAAAAGATATTATCTTTTCATCAGCCCACATGATTATATCCGTAAAACAAAGTGCTTTCTGATATTGTATCAATAAAGCCAAAGCAAAATATATTAATACAATAGTGTGAGGAGCACTCAAATTTTTGGACTCAACTTACATGAACGGAAATTTTTCAAGAATGATTTAAAAATGTTTTCGCAGAAATATTGCCAGATTACAAAATATGAAAACAAAAGCGCAAATTGAGTGTAACAAGAGGGTTAAGTGTCGTTCGTGCCGTTGAGTTTAAAGTGTCGTTCTTACTGCACTGCTGAAGTGATTTGGTATTCTGTGCATTGATTTGTTAATTACCAATGATGGGCTCGAAATGGATGTAAGCAAGGTAATATTATACTGGATAATTTTAAAAATTGACCATAAATAGTTTTAGAAAATAGATGTTTATTTAAGAAAAAATAGAAAAGAGAAACATAAATTGCCTGTTTCACAAGTAATTTTAGCCACGGATTTGCACGAAATGGATTAGCACATGGAAAAATTATATAAATTATCAAAGAAAAAAATTTTAATAGATAATTTTAACATATCCCGCTAATTTTAATATTTCCCGATAATTTTAATATTCCCGCTAACTTTGACTCTATTCGAGCTTCACAGTGCATGAGCGAAAATTTCACTAAAAAAATAAGGTATACCTTCAAATACATATTTTGCATAACGTTTGACAAAGCTTAAACTTGAACGCTGTTTCTCAAAAGCCGTAATTTTTAATGTGTGTGTGTTGATTTGATTGCGGTGTGTGCTGTTTGTTTGAGTTTTCGAAAGTTTTTCTTCATTTTTATTTTCTAATTTTTAAATTTCCCGGATTCCCCGTATGTGGGGCGGGACAGGGTTAACCCAAGCTATATTTTTTAAAAAACTGAATTGCTTGCTGTATTCGGTGGTATAAGGTGGTATGAAATAGGAAAAATCAGACGAAACGCTTTTCTGCAACTGGGTACTTGCAACTCGAAGAGAAGTAAAGTGCTTATTCCTAACCATGTGATTGAAATCAGATTTAATTGGATACCTGTAAGCGACATCACGCGTGTGTGTTGAACCTGATTGGCTTCTGAATTGACAAATGCTGTGATTAACCTACTATGACGTCACTTGCACGTAACTAATTGTCGCAGTTTCGACGAGAAACATCAAGATACCCATAGCCACAAAATATGCCAGAATGAATTTAAATTACTTGACTGAAAAAGAGGTAGGGAACTTAAAATAGTAATGTAATTTTAAAATTATACACTTTTACTTTACTACAGTTCGTTTTTTCTTACTTTAATATTCTATTGCTTATTACATGAAATTCGGCAGAAAAATCGGTAGAAGTAGGTAATGTTGCCAATGAACAACAAACCTTTATGTTTATTCAACTATCAGTTATCACTGAACATAATATAGTAAAAGTATTTTTATTATGAAAATAAAATTTTGACACTCTTCTCTTCTTTTAAAATTATTGCACTCTGCAATCATTGTACATATAGCTTCATTTAAGATTTATATACACGTTTTTAACAAAATGAAGAAAATTTAAAGAATTAATCATTTACTCTCTCAGATTCGATCTGTCTTCTCATCAAAATGCTCAAGAAGTAGTTCAATATAATCCCGAATAACCAGCATTGAACATTATTTTTTAGTAGCCTTGACTATATTTGCATGCACATCCGTTCGACTCTCTGGATCATCTTAAGGATCCAAAGGCAAATTTCTAGGGCATTCTGCACTTTGCTACCTGGTTTTGAGCATTACAAGATAGTTGTATTTAAAATTCAAAATCTATGTCCTACTTTCTATCTTTACGTAATGATACTTAGGTGATCAGTTCTACCTAGAGTTCAGTTCTTGATGTGTGTCTATGGTGGACTAAAAAAAGCTGTAGTGCAGTAAGGGAAGAAGTTAATTACATACGGACAAAGTTTTCACAGGCACCTGGACGAAACATTTTGCCGGCACAAAAAGCCTTATTTTCATAGTTTGAAGATCTTTCATACAAAATTACAGTTTTTAAATGGATAAAATTATCTACAATTTTGTTAAAAATAAAACTAATTAATAAGTACTACATTTTTTGTAAGGAATTTTGGCCGGTTCCTCAGAATTCTGACTCACGAACAAATGTCCCAGGCTGCCCTGGATGTCTAGGACCTTGTAATCGAATGTAAGTTACACGCATATTTATCGTAAATTCTTATATAAAATAGAAATACCTGCTACTTTTTTCACTAAAATTTTAGTATTTCTAAATTTCCCTTAGAATTAACATGTGTACCTGGTTTTAACACACCAGTGGAGTTAACCGGGTGATTTGACATTTTCTAGAAAAATCTAGTAAAAATATTATTAATAAAAATAGTAATACATCAATGACTTTTCAGAAATGACATATAGAACACAATTAAACAATGAATATCTCAATTAAATCTTAATTAAATTAAATCAGTTTCTGGGTCGAACTGTACAGCTTAGCTCCAAGCATTCGGATCTTTACTACCCGGTATTACCCCACTTTCCTGTACTACATATAACTTTAGATGAAAATATAAAAAATAATTGAAAACAACACTCAAAACTTGTCAGCAATTAACTGTATTTTATGTCATGATATTAAAATTCTTAAACAGATTTATAGCCCGTAATTTTTAAAAATGTATAAAATGCAGAAAAACCAAATGAATAATAAAATTACGTGCAATTTTACATCGTCTCATAATCATAACGTAAGCAGAGGAATATAATGGAAGTTTTCAAGATTCTGCTCCGCTTTACCCAGAGTTAACCCACGGCTACAGTTAACCAATCATTAGATTTGTATAACTGATTACGTTAATCCTCTATAAATAATATTTTTCCAACTATAGTTTTCGTGGTGAAAATAATTTAATAATTAAAGACACTATACACGGTGCGCCTTAACTAAAATTAAATAAAATGCTCTTACACCTAGAAAATTAGAAGAGATTATGAATTTACAATGTTCTTTGATAATAAAAATCGGAAAATTAAAATAATCTGTGGAGAGATTTTGAGAAAAATCTACTTTGATCATTTTTGCACACGAAGTACGATATTTCAAAAATGTTAGCATCATTTTATACTTATAAATAGAAGAAAAAATGGCACATTTGTATATTTATAATAACCGTTAATAATAGAGTTTATAATTATTAGAAATTTTTTAATTGTTAATTATAGTCGATGAACCACTATTTAAAAAACAAAAATAATAAAAACTTAAATCGACTTTGACACAAGCACTGTGAAATTAGCACAAGCACTGTGACTTTAAAAATGGCAGCTTACATTCGTGTGTGTACACGAAGTAAAAAAGCAATTGAATCAGGATAAAAAACAAAACTTAATATCACAGCTCATTCTATCGACAATTATTTTGATTTTAAGGAATTTCCTTTCGTTTGTATAAAAGGTGATGAAGTCTCTGATGCTCCTGCGCTTGGAGTTTACTGCAAAGATGTTCCTGCTTTTGTTCAGTATGTGAAAAATAAACGAGACGTACTTTATGTTCCCTTAAAAATGGGTATTGATGGAGGAGGTCGATTTTTAAAAATATGTCTTTCTGTACAGTCAAATGAGTTGGACTTCGAGTGCAGCGGTAAGCGTGCTAAGTATGATGAGGGGATAGCTGCAAGGAAATTTAAGGATTCTGGAGTTAAACGACTATTCATTCGAGCAGCCGTTCCGAGTGCACAAGAAAATTATAAGTATGTAGATCAACTCATTTCAACGTTGAATATAAGTCCTTTCCACGGCACAATTGCAACCGATTTGAAATTAGCGAATATCTTAGCAGGTATAATGTTGCACAGCAGCGCATATCCATGCACTTATTGTTATGACAAGAAAGATGAGCTAAGCAGCTGTGATGGATTGAGATCCCCCAAAAATTTTTCATGGTATTGACAAGTTGGCTGAAGGAAAAGGTTCAAAAATCAAAGCGAAAGATTATTTCAATTGCATTCATCCACCGCTAATTGCAACTGTTGGAGGCAAAACATTCCTAGACATTATTCCACCGCCAGAATTACGCCTTATGCTTGGTGTTGTTAACATTGTTTTCACGCATATGTTGAAAGAGTGTGAAAATGAATCGCTGACATGGACAAAAGCTTGTCACGTTCAGCATGAAATCAGACGAGGATGTTCTGGGTTTAAAGGAAATGCATGCAAAACACTTTTGGATAAAGAAGAACTTCTGCACCAGTTTAAAAATCTAGCAATACTGAAGTACGTTAAAGTATTTGACGACTTCAAAAAAGTGGTTTCTGTATGCTTCGGAAATAATCTTGACCAAAATTTCAAAGCATGTATAGAAGCTTTCAAAAAGAGCTACATGAACTTAGGTGTCAACGTTACGCCAAAGGTTCATGCATTTTTTTTTTTCACATTAAACAGTTCTGAGACAAAAACGGTGAAGGATTAGTATTTTTTTTGGGAGCAGGTGATGGAGTTCGTACATTTTGATTTTTTAAAGTCTTCCTGGGAAATTAATAAGGCTGCTACAAATCACCCGGGTTATTCTATACACCTTTGAAGCGCTGTTTGTAGATACAATGCTTCACATGTTTAAATTGATGTAATTATAAGTAAATTATGTTACATTTTCATATTTTATCAGCAGTAAAATGTTTAAATAATAAAAGTTAAATAGAATTACTACTGAAAAATCATTATTATATCATTTCTTTCCTTTCTATTGATATAAAACAACGCCAGATTTTCCAAAATCGTGCGCAAAAATGTTCAAAGTGGATTTTTTTAAAAATCTCTCCACAGATTATTTTGATTTTTTGATTTTTATTATCTGTTAACATTGTAAATTCAGAATCTCTTCTAATTTTCTAGGTGTAAGAGCATTTTATTTAAATTTGGTTAAGGCGCACCGTGTATAAAATGGGCAACATGATTCGCCGTGACTTACTTTCCAATAGATTCTAAGAGAAAATTCACATTGTTTGAAAAATTCTTCATCAAACTGAGATTTATTCTTTCTGAATTAATACCACACTTTAAAATAGGTTGAAGTAGATGATGAGGAGCAATTTCGATAGTGATGGCGTTTGGAGAAATTTTCTTCAACACCTCGTTGAATTTGACGGTAGTAATTATGTTATTTACGAAGTAATCGTCGTCAATAATCTGGCAGTTAGGTTTTTCCCAATCAGCCTCAGAAACTGAAGAACTTAGCCATCGTTTAGTTCTTTGTTTGGGTAGTTTTATAGCCTAAAAAAAATTAAATTTCATCAATATATGTATTTCTCTTATGTGGCACTATAAGTTTGGGTATTTCTCTATCTCTTGGCAACACTGTAGTTATTACTGATTTTATCAGGTTGTCTTAAGTAATCATTTAAGTAGCGTTAAAAAATTAGCTATACATTATGTATTTATTTAGATTCATTGTGTATTTGTATAGAATAAAAACATAGATACAAAGAAATAATCAAGGATTATTTTTTATCCTTTATGAAATGGCTGTAGAAATTTTAAACAATGAACGGTGTTATGGTACTGCATATTGTCATACTAATTATTGGGAATGGAACATGTCCTTCTAGCAATTCCGTTAAAAACTAATTAAGAAGTTAGAACTAGAGGTGGGGTTGCATATTTAGAATATTTAATTACAGCGAACCGGGTGAGAAATTCGTATTGACCAGCCATCACTGAGATTCGAACCCGGTTCACCTCATAGGAAGGCGAAAGCTCTCTCGTCTGAGCCCCCAATGCTCAAAACGAACTAAATTAATCACTGGAAAACAAGACTCTGTTTAACATTTTTAGCTAATAAAAAAAAAGATAATTATTTTTTGGTCCATTTTTCAAGTATGGCCAGTTTACGCCATTCTATTTCAAAGAGTTCATAAAAAAATTCTTAGCATTCTTAAAACGAACGTAAAACGTTCGAAAAGGTATGCAATCAATAATTAAACTGAAAAAGACTGAAATTCTTAAGCGATGTAACGTATGTGAAATACAGAGAAGAGGTTTTTCTTATAACCATCATACTTTGCATAACTCATTGCGTCAAATTATGATTTTAATAACCAACAAAATCATGAAATGTGTAACTTTGAGACTTACTAAGGAATAAGTGTTTGCACATACTTTTTTTGTCTTCAGTTTGTCAGCTATCAGTCTCATATATTTCGTATGAGCGGCGTAACCACAAGAATTTACAACAGTAGCAAGAATATTTTGTTTTCTCAGTGTCTCTGCGAACTTATCAACGTCATCTTTCAGTCCAGAAATTGTAACCGAGTTATCAGTATTGTGACATGCTGCATATACATTTTCAGGGCATTGTTCCAGTGCTTGCTTCCATGTAAGACCTATGAAAGTGGACAGAAACAAATAAGCCTTATTTAAAAACTACATAACCTATAACATACAATTTATATTATTGGGTTCGGTCTTTAACTCCGTACAGTGGCTAAACTAAGAGACTATTGACGACGATTTGGAATTCAACTTTGATGTTGATCCGAAAACAATAATGGCGCATATGTACACCACACTACCAAAATTTAGATCAGAGAACAAGAGTAGGTAGTGAAACCCCCATCTCCGTACCGTGCTCCCCAATCAAATAATCATAAAGCATTAACTTTTTCCGGTCTGAAAGCCCCAAGTACTTTTTATTAAAATGGATTCAAAATCACTAAGACGCGATCAAAGAAAGGAAAATGTGATCCCTGTCCTTTGCAGAAGGAATCGAACCCCAAACTAAGCTGTTGTAATCAAAGACTCTTACCACCTCCCGAATGGGCGGCTCTTATGGAATATCACAATTTTTTTTTAATGTTATAGAGGTAGATTTACTACAATTAAAAAAAAAAGGTTATGTAAGGTGGTCCAAAAAAAACAGGACACACTTAATGACTTTTCATCTAATGATCCAACTTCACGTTCTTAATACATTCTTAATCGTTCGAGGAGGGAATCTCAAATATGCTAATTAATTAGCGCTAACTATATTTTAATTTTTTACACAAAAACATACTTTCTATGTATAAACATACATTTTTTACAACGGATTGGGATTCCCGACTCCCAAAATATAGGCGATAGCCGCAATCAAGGAAATATGTTTCCCATAGTTTGATCAGGAGAGCGATCCAAAGTTTGAGCCCCTTGATGTTAATTTTACTTTTCGTGTAATCTCGCAAAACTTTCAAGCGAATTAAAAAATTCTTGCACGCAATTAAAAATTCGTTTAACGTCATTTCGTCATTTTAAAGTACCTAATTATACATTGCGTCATACAAAATTTGAGCGAAATTGGTTGAATAGTTCCTGAGAAACCGAGTTTTAAGAAAGTCGTTTAGTTAAAAATCGATTTTTTTTCAGAAACTATGCAACCGATTTCGCGCAAATTTTGTATTTAATCTTGTAAAATTAGACACTTTAAAATGATGTCAAAAATTTTGTACTTCACAATTCAAAATTTTTTCAACTATTATTAAAAATAAAATTATAAAAAATAATAAATAGTTACTAAAATTTATTTTTTGCATGGAATTACTTTGGATAAGCAAATTTTATAATTGTGCTCAAAAATTTCTCAATTTGCTTAAAAAGTTTCTGAGATATGGTTCTGATATGGATATGGAAAAGTTTCTGAGATACGCAAAAAGTAAAATTAACATTAGAGAAAAGAAACTTAGGATCACTCGCCTGAGCCTTTTGGGCCCTTTTTCCCCAATTGCGGCTACCCCCCCCCCTATTTTGGGGGTCAGAAATCCTAATCTGTCGCAAAAAGGTACGTTTTATATTCAAATAAATTACATTTCTGTGGACTTCGTAACTTAAAATATCGCCTGTGCTAATTAATTAGCATATTTGAGGTCATCCCTTCGAACAATTTAGATAGAAGATCCGATCATTAGATCAAAAGTTATTCAAGGTGGTCCTTTTTTTTGGTGCACTGTGCATGAAAATACCAAACCTGTTGCGACCATTGAGCCTCTAGCAAGCTCTGGTGATTCATCAACACATAAGCCAATATATAAAGCCAGCAACATGGTTTCTTCCAAAGAACTGCAACCATCTCCATAACTGGCTCCTATTTCACCAATACTATGTCCAATTATGCCATCTGGGTGTATGCCAATGTGATGTAAAAGGTCAGTTAGAGAAATCTAAAATGTACCGCCATTAGTAAGTAGAGCTCTTCTTTACAAATAATAATAACAAAAAAAACATAAATGTTTCGTTAGTTTAGTGTTTGATGCTCTATGTTTAATAACCAGTTTATGCTTTTGATTGAATACATTTGCTTTCAATGATTTTGACCAAAAATACATGAACAATTTAATCAAATCTAAAAAAACTGATAATCGCGTAGTGAAGTGTTTCAATTCCAAAAAAATGAAACAAATTAAGCTTGCCTTAATTATTATTTTAGTACCCCTCTCAAGAAGTAAGCGGATCATGTGTTGGAATCCTTTTGTCGTCGAGATAACCGTGTTAGAATTTCGCGGTTTTTCCTCTCATGTAACACAAATGTGGGTTAGTTTCTTCGAAAAGTCCTTCACGAAGGATAGTTTGTCCTAATCCAGGAGTTCCCTTGTCTTCAGAGTTCGGTTCAAAATTACAAGGATATGGAATTGAACATACCACTCATTGTAAACTCAGAATTGGCTGTCCACACACACAGAGTACCGGTTACAAAATATAATATAAAACTTTAACACTGACACTGATAATGGTTTCAAATGAGCAAAGAAGAGGATAATATTCTTAAACTTCAACTATTTATCTTATTTAAATACCGCTGACCGTAAGAGGGTGAATCTTTGAAAATATACACAGTTTATACAAATGGGATTAGATGAGAGGTAGTCGTAATTTTAAAAATATGATATTAATAGTTACCTGTATAGCAGCAACGGAAACGAATGCTGGTAGAACACACCTGTCTTTTTCCAGTAAATCACTGTCCGAACTTATAATTTTGAATAGATCTAGGTCATGTGGCTTTAATACATCTGCACACTTTCTCATACTTGACGCAAATACATCAATTTGCATAAGTTTAGAGCCCATTCCTTTCCATTGACAACCCAAGCCAGTATATACAAACCATACTGGCCTCTGAGCGTTAGTGCAGAGCTGAAATAGGTAGTAATGGTTTATTAGTTAAAATACTATCGAATTGTTAACGGAATAAAAAGTATACTTCTCACTGAAAACTTATTACTCGGAGTAATAGGTAGCAACAATCTATATTCTTATTATATAAAACGCTAATTCGTACGTATGTATCAATAAAACCGATGATATTTCTTTTCTCGCGTTGGCAACAGTTTTCATTTTTAATTGATAGGCTTCGGCGCGCAAGAGCACGTAGTGAGCATCATATGGCTAATCTATATTATTTAAAACGCTAATACGTTTTAATTGATAGGCTTCGGCGCGCAAGAGCACGTAGTGAGCATCATATGTCTAATCGGGTGAATTCTCACCGAATTATCAAAAAAATTCTCACAAAATTATCTTCATC